AGAAGCAACCACTTTTAATTCTCCTTTGATTCTCAGGCCACTGAATAATAAGTTCATCTGCTATCTTCTCATCTATCAATTATAGACCCTATCTGCTGACTTCCTACTCTGGAAGATAAAAATGTATAACCCCATTTCACATACATATACACACATTCATACTTCCCTTCTATCCTACTAAATGATTCACAATCTTAATTTTATTAATATTTAGTGGTTATATTTTTATAAAGATATAGCTTTTAAACAACTGAATCACAGGTATGACTATGATTATGACTATATTTCCAACTACTTTTTATTTGTTCTAGAGCTATTATATTTTTTAAAAAATCTAAAATTTTTAAATTAATGCTTTTCCTAAGCTTACCAATAGTCCTATAAACCTCTGTTCAATATATTTAGTGTTTTTTTTTTTTTTTAATCTGTATGTTCCATGTTTTTCCTGAAGATATCTTTCATGGAGCCCGCTAGCCCCACATTCCACAGGAACACAGGGCCTGCTATATGGCTCTTGGCTTAGGGCTTCTTTTACCAACATCCAATTTCCTTTTCCTCTCCTACATGTTGGATCTCAGATTTTCTTGGATCTTGTGATTGATAAACTTTTTTAAAAATTTAAATGTATTCTACCTAGTAATTTTGTTTATAGCATTTCTCCAGCAGATCTTTATGTGGAAAATTACTTAGAAATGAGATTATTCATTACAAAATCATTTGTAAAAAACAGGATTAGAGGCAACCTAAATTTCCATCAATATCATCTAGTTAAACAAATTCTGACTGACTAACTCAGTGGAATATTATGCAGCCATATATTAAAAAATAGGGTAGTTCTAAATATACAGATAAGGAAAAATCTCCAAGATACTTATTTCAAGATTACAAAATATATTGCAGAACAGTGTGCATAGTAGTGACCACTTTTTAATGAAAATAATAAATATATTTATGAACTATATAAATGGTAGAATATCTCCAAAAGGATATGCAGTAAGCTGATAAAATGGATTACTTCTGGAATAAGAAACTCAGTAGTTGGAGGGCAGGAGTACAAAGCTTATGCCTTTCCTTTTTGTAACAACTTTATTAATATATAATTTATATACTTTAAAATTCACAAATATTATGTGATTAATTCAATGAATTTGAATATATTTAAGTTACATAACTTCAATAGAATCTAGGTTTGGGTCATTTACATCATCCTATAAAAAAAATCTTTGTGTAAATTTACTTTTATTTCCACTCCCACTCCAAGTCCTAGGCAATCACTTAATTTACTTTCTGTCTCTACATTTTTACTTTTTCAGGATATTTTGTACACATTTATATTTTTTAAATTTGTTTTTCTCAATTTTGAAATTATACCACCTATTTGAAAATAAAACATTATTTAATTGACCCTGTTATTATTCCCTCTACTCATAAGAAGAAACTGACTCATGAAAAAAGTGATATATTTAGTACTATAAGCAGACAAGAGGCGGGGCTAGGAATTAAATTAGAGCATTATGAACATGATCCCATTTCCTATTTTTACTGCCTCAATATTAGACTTCACTTTGGCTTAGCATAAACTGAAATTTAGATTTAATCATTGTTCACATAAGTGTAAATCTCTGTAAAAGGTCAAAACATTTACCATTCAAATGGGAAAGAACAAATCATTGTGCTGAAAAAAGATATGGGTATGAAAATAATATTGCTTAAGCACTTCACTTTTTATTGCCTTATTTTGTTAGGAATCCATAAACACTAATATAATCTTGTCATCTATTAAAAAAGGTTGGCCATCTGCTAATGTTGAGATTAATAATCTACCCCATGGTTAACTCATAAAATCATACAAATTTAGATTCAAATGGGACTTCAGAAATTTATCTATGACATTTCCCCAGATTTATTCCTCTAGATACCAGCCAATCTAATTACTTTAGTGACATGTTTAACCTTTGTGAAAATCTTTATATAGATTTATTTATATGAACATTACTGACTGTTAAAATCTAAGAAGCAAATTTGTGGTTCATTCCTTCTCCAGTGAATAGTAATAGCAATAACAAAATAATAAGGATGATTGATAGCATCCTATATTAAGTAATTACTGTGGCCAGTCATTGAGCTTTGGGAGGTGCTTTACATATATTAAGTCATGTAGACCTTGAAACCATCTAGGATAAAGAACTTATTTTTAACCCCATTTTCAGTAAGGATACTTTTTCCTATGGAGGTTAAAGAAGATGCCTAATGTGTCATAGCTACTAAATGAAAGATCTCAAATGTGAATCCAGGATTTAATTAACAAGTTTTTGTAGTGCCCCTATCCACAGGGAATGTGTTCCAAGACCCTCAGCAAATGCCTGAAACTGTAGGTGGTACCAACCTCTCTATGTGTTGTTTCTCCTGGTACACCCACACCTATATTAAAATTTAGCTTACATATTAGGCACAATAAGAGATTAACAGCAATATTTTTAAAAGAACAATGGTAACAACATACTATAATGAAAGTTATATAAATGTTGTATCTCTCTCAAAATACTTCAACTATACTTTCATCTTTTTTATTCAAAGAAGCACTTTTTGGCTTCTCTTCGGCATCTGAATTGCCAGCATTACTACTCTTGGATTTGGGGGCCATTATTGAATAAAACAAGTATTATTCAAATAAAAAAGAACTGAGATTACATGATGATCAAATTGATTAGAGAGACAATGCTAAGTGATTGGTGGAGGGTAGAATGTATAACTTATATATATTGGACAAAGAGATGATTCACATCCTAGGTGAGATAGAGGCATGGCAAAGATTTCATCATCCCTTACTCGGAATGGGCACAATTTAAAACTTATAAATTGTTTATTTCTAAATTTTCCATTTAAAATTTCAAGATGTTTGTTAACCATCAAAACTGAAACCTTGGATAAGAGAGGGAAGGGATAATACTGCTGTATATTGCTGCATTCGCCTCATTCCTGACTCATGTTTGTTTTGTCTTAATTCTTAGTTCATTTTTTTAACCTAGTACTTTATGTTAGCTCAACTTGTAAACTACCTTAAATCCTTTCTAGAAAATGTTTGCTTAAATAATTAAGCCTATTGACTATTGTTTATTTGCCATCTTGTACTTTATTAGGAAGAAAAAGAAATTCTGTACCCCCTCATGGAAGAGTTTGTCTTAACAATATAAAGCAAGAACAAATTAATCAATATTGATTGAGCCAATGTGGGGAACTTAGAGAACTAATGTGATAGGTCTTGTCCCTTGGGAGCATATGTATTTAATTATTAAGTGAAAATGCATGTATAAAACCACAAATGTATGAAAAGTGATTATGAATTGCACTGATAATAGGTCCTTAATCATAAGTCAATGATTAAGGAGAAGAGGAGAAGATTGAAGAAATTAAATTCTAAGAAATTAAGAAATTAATTAAATAATAAATTCTAATAAATTAAAAATAATTCTTATAAATAAGATTAATTTCTAAGGAATTAAATTTTATTTTGTTTAGAAATGAAAATTCCTTAATGAAATCAAGACTATTTAAACATTCCAGTATTCTGAAGAGTTTTATGACAATAATTTTGTTTCTGTTTTGAAGCAGAGTCTAAGTTGCCCAGGCTGGTTTGGAACTCCTGGGCTTGAGTGATCTTCCTGCTCAAACTCTCTGGTAGGTGAGACTACAGGCATGAACTGCGCCATGACCAGTTCATGGTATTTGGATAAGATGCTCTATAAGGTTCTGTCCTATTTAAATAGTAATATTATTATTATTATTATTACTAAGTAGTAATAAAAATAATACAGAAATTACCATTTACTTAATATAGTGAATGAAATTCCAGTTAGTAAATGACATGAGGTTTTCTTGAAGGAGATATGGGAAAACCTAGAGTGAGTATTTACAGTAATTGGTGAAACGTAGGGAATATTTGTTATTCCCCAAGATGGTTGGTGTGTGTTGGGAGTTGGGGTGAATGGTGAGAGAAGATGGCTGGCAAAGGAGTCACCATTGACCAAATTTTCCAAATATGAGTGCCTTTTCAAACTCTGTTGGTTGTCTGATAAGAGTAAGTTAAATGAAATTGCCCACTGTGCCTTTTACAATTAAAATTTGAGACCATCCTGCAAATCTGGAGGCTGAAGCAGGAAGATTGCAAGGTCCAAGCCAACCAAGGCAACTTAGCAAGGGCTAAGTCGTTAAAAAAAGCTAGGGAAGTAGCACAGTGGTAAAGTTGCCCTGGATTCAGTCACCAGTGTAATACGTATGTTGTATATACCATACATGATAATTATCCATACTTATTACAACATACCATACATAATAAGTATGGATAATTATTATGTATGGTATATACATAATATACCAGGTGTGAGACACCTGGAAAACAATGTTTCTATCCTCTCTAACCAAAAGTGAATGAAGACTCATTTGTCCCTACTTACATCTCTACTTTCCCGTTTACACCCCCAAACGTTAGACCCTAACGATTGGTGGCATTTTTATACAAACACTAAGACTTGGCTCAACCTGTGTTTTCTACTCAGGACACTGATCATTTTCCACAGGTGCACGCTAATTATCAACTGAAATGAGAATCACTTGATGTGATTGATACCAGTTTTGCAAGTAACAGCTTCTAATGAGTTACTTGCTTTCGAAGTATTGCTTTTACTAAACAATGGTCTTGGTTCAGTGGAGTGAATTTTTGTTTCAGAGGATGAAGAGAGTCTGTAAATAAAAGATGGCATAGGAGGCAAGCAATAACATATTTTCCCGTTGGCCCGCAAAGGTAGAGGGTAGCCCAGCTGGAACTGGGATCAGAGGAAACATTGGAGGTAGTCCTGCAGCCCAGGGCCATCCTAGGGCAGATGGTACCGAGGGCCGGGAGGTGGCCGGTTCACACCGCCCAGGGAAGAAGCCAAGACGCTAAGCCCCGCAGCAGCAGCAGCAGCAGGCCAGGTCCCGGTGGGCGGAGGGAGCCCGGCGCGCGGCGTCGCGAAGGAGGCGACGGCTGCGGCGCCCACTCCCCCTTGTCCCCGCGCCGGGCCGCTCGTCTCCAGCGGCGGGGCGCCGGCGCGCTCGGCTCTTTCCGCCGCTGCCGCTGCCGCGCGCTGCCCGGTGCGCTCCGGCACCTTCGGCAATTTCCGTCGGGCTCTGGCCGCCATTTTCTCGCCGCTTGTGTGGCTCGCTGGCTGCGTGGCTCGGTTCTTGTGAGCGAAGCTTTGTCCGGTTCGGCAATGGACGGGTATGTAATGGGGTCGGTGAAAAGATGTGTGCGAGAGAGGAGTTGGACCGTCCTTCGGCCGGTGTCCGGGGTCGGGGAGAAACCCTCGGGCGGCCCCTCCCAGGGCTGGGCTGCCGTTACCCAACCCCCGCCCCATCGCACACACCCCTCCCCTTGCTTCCCCCGGCGGGTTCTGGTCGAGAAAATGGGAAGAAAGCGGGCTCCGAGGCCGGGGAAGCATTGGGGCGACGGCGGGGGGGCGGCCCCGGGGAGGGGGGCGGGCACCGGCGTGGCGGCGGGGGATGGGGAGGGAACCCCGGGACGTCGCACCCGCCCCTGCCCCCTCTAGGAGCCATTTCGATCGGTACCCCGGGACCCGAGCCCTGGGCTAGGGGTTCCCGTAGGAGCCAACGGCGTGGGCAGAGACGGGTCCGTGGTGCGGGATTCATGGGCATTCGAGAGGCACTCGCYGTGGACCTGGCCATCCCCGGCCTCCCCGGCCTCGCCCGCCCTGGCCGGGAGAGATGCCGGTGGCGGGAGCTCCGGGGAAAGCCGAGTGGGAGCCGCTGGGGAAGGGGGGAGGGCGTGCGGCGGAGGGGGAGGGCAGATGTCATACTCCTTTGTTTTCATCCGAGTCTGGGAGCGGGGGCAGGAGGCATTAAAAAAAAATGCCTTTTTGTGGGGCCTAAGAACATTCAAGGCTTGGCAAAAGGGCCTAGAAATTAAATCATGCAAAAAAAAAAAAACAAAAAACAAAACCCCGAAGTGTTTGAGGTCGACATCAGTCACATGGGCAAAGGCCAACAGCCATGGCAGAAACAAGAGCAGGTAGTCAACATTGGGCCACCTTTTTAGCTACTTGGGCTAGTTTCCGGAAAAAACAGAAACTACCAAAAGCTAGAACCGCGCTGCATCTTTGAGAGCCTAAGAGTGAAGATAGAATRGTGAGAGGTGAGAAACGGGCGGGCTTTGGGAAATGATATGGACCACTGTCTCTCTGGTACTAATAAGGCTCCACATCTGAAATGACTCAGTTTAATTCATTGTTAAAATGGGGGCAAAAATATAGCAGTCCACAGCCCCTTTGGCTGTGAAAAACCAGTGTCAATTAGCAGGTACATTTATTAAAATCAGTGACAGCGTCTGAAGAGTCAAAAGTAAAAACCTTAATTTATTTTGGTTAAGTGTAAGTTTCTAGAGTTTCATGTTTTTAAAGATACTAAATGAAAATCATGAGAGCTAACAGGCCCTGGAGCTTAAATCATCCAAGAAGTTATTTTAAAGATGATTTTCTAGATCAAACAGATGCAAAGAAGTACATTATTCACCCCCCTCTCCCCCAATCACCATGGGAAATTGATGGCAAAACTTGTGCTGGAATTCATGTTTTACAATTCCCAGATTCTACCTAGTATACTAAAAAGTTTTAAGAGTTAAATTATTAATATAGGACTGGCATTATAGTGTTTTTTGTTTTGGATTTTTTTCTTTGCTATTGAAAGTGTTGTTAAAAAATACCTTATATTTACTAAAGTGTGTCTTATGTTTGAAAGTTATTTGTAGATAACAGTTTAATAATATTATAAAGAAGTTTCATTGACCATCAGTCTATTTGTTTTCCATCTATATTATAAGTGTCTTGAGGAATTATGAATGATGAATTACTCTGAAAAGTTTGAGAGTCAAATGATGATCATTRGAAGAATAACAAGAAGTTGAAATTATTTATTTTTTTCTTACAGAATTGTCACTGAGGTTGCTGTTGGTGTGAAGGTAGGAGAAGATTGTTTGAAACTAACTTGAAAAATAGAGGATTTTTGAATCTACTATTATTGCAATTAATGGAGAATTTCATTTAGCTTTGAAAACTAAGACACAGCTAAAAAAAAAAAAAAAACCCAAGCGTAAAATTAATTTGTAAAGTCAGATTGTATGAATAATCAACCACCATAAAGTTGGTTAATCTTAATAAATAACCATATGCTTTTCTTGAACTGGAAGTTTGTAAGAATACAAACTTTCTTTTGTCTTATGAAAATWTTTTTTATCAATAGTAAGACACACTAGAAATGAGTTGTCCTGACCCTTAAAAGGAAAGTTTTTAGGCAATTAGCTTTAAATTTGAGTCACATTTAAATTTGTCTATTAAAGGAAATTGAACTTCCTCACTTTTTGGCTAAAAATAATACTCATCTTTTATGCTTTGGTACTAATGGTTAGGTCTTTTTATTCTTTCAGTGATTAAACTTTCAAATGTCTTGGTGTTTTTGTTTCTAAACCTGTTAGGGCATGATTCTTGTCTTTTATTTATTTATTTTTCCTTTGGTCTTGGGTATTGAACCCAGGGCCTTGTACACACTAGTGTTCCTACTACTGAGATGTTCCCCTAGCCTAATCCTTGTTTTTTAACTTTATTTTCCCAAGCCTGGCACAATAATGAGATTCCCCCTACCCCTTCAACCACTGCCCTTGCCAGTGTGAGTAGTCTTGGGAATGCTGTTTAGTCCTTTGAAACTGACTGTTTATTATGTTTTTTGGAATTCTTAGAATTGCATCCACACAGTGTGATTTTTTTTTTTTTTTTTGTAGTTGTAAATGGACAGCATGTCTTTAATTTATTTATTTTTATGTGGTGCTGATGATCGAACCCAGTGCCTCACATGTGCTAGGCAACTTTTAACTCTGCCACTGAGCTACAGCCCCAGTCCAGTGTGATAATTCTTTAGAATATTTTTGCAGATGTTGCTCTTGTTTTTTAGTGAACTAGATATTTGTCCATGCCTTAATATTTAGGCTTATTTCTTGAGTTCATATTATATAGATTGGGGGAGAAATAATGAACTTGCATATTTAATTTGGATAATGATTTTTTCAAAATTGAAAGTTATGGGATTTAAAATAGGGAATAACTCAAAGAGTTCAAAATGTAGTTGTTGGAGTTAATATTCAACTAAATTTCTAATGTGAATTTTGTGAAATAATAAATGACACAAGTTTCTTTTGTAAAAAAATAAATTAATACAAGTGTGAGTTTTTCATCATTAGTGAAAGAGAAAAGAAAATTATARACAAGACCTAGAATGAAAAGGAAGAAAAATGATATTTGGAATAGGATGTCCATATATGATGTATTGGTTATGTCAGTTTTTTATATTAGTGATTTGAGGAGGAAACATTACAAAATGATATAAAAATAGTTACTAACAATTAAAACAGTTTTATATAAAAGTTGGAATAACTAAAGTTAGTTTTCTAGGATTATGGTTAAAAGACTTTTTGCTTTGATGTCAGACTGTACAATTAGGTTTCTTTAAAAAAAGTTCTTTAAAAAAWTTTTTTTGGTAGTTGTAGATGGACAGCATGCCTTTATTATTTATTTTTATGTGGTGCTAAGGATTGAACCTAGTGCCTCATGGGTGTGAGGCAAGCACTCTGCTACTGAGCTRTAGTTCCAGCCCTAAAAAAGTTATTTTTAAAGTAACACGTGCTTATTTTTTAAAAATGTAAAGTGAAACATTTCTTCCTGATTGAGTTCTTTTCTTTCGTTAGGTAATTATTTTAATTTTTTTTCCTGAAATTATTGATTTATATATTACTATGGCTATCTTTGTATACACAGATGGATTAAAAGTAGTACATGTTTTGGTCCACATCTTGCCTTTAAAAAAAATAACTTTATTGAGATGTAATTTAACATAAACCAACCCGTATCTACAGTGTATAATGCTTTCACGTGTATATGTGAAATCAGCAAGATAGTATCTATTGCTTTGAGAAATATCTTGCCCCTTTGTAATCCTCCCTTCTTCTTTTCTTCTCCCAAGTAGCCACTATTTTGCTGTCACTATAGTTTGCAGTTTTTAGACTTAAATAAATGGAATCATGCAATATGTATCTTTTTTTATGTGTGTGACTATTCYACACATCATAAATAATTTGAGATTTACTTGTGTATCAGTAGTCCATTTTTTTTTTTTTCTGTTGCTTAGTGGCATCCTGTATGGCTATATGGCAGTTTGTTTATTTAACTTTTTTTTTTTTTTTTTTGGCGGTACATGGGCTTGAACCCAGGGATGCTCTACTACTAAGCGACGTCACCTACATCTCTACCCCTTTTTATTTTGGGATAGGTTCTTGCTTAGTTGTCCAGTCTGGCCTCAAACTGGGGACCCTTCTACCTCAGCCTGCTGTGTGGCTAGGATTGCAGGCATGMATCTCTGCTATTGATTAATTTCTGAGTGGACATTTGTGTTTCAAGTTTGGGGCTACTATAAATAAAGTTGTAAGCTTTCCTGTATGTCTTTGTGTGACTATATGCCCCCCCCCCCCCCATTGGCGCCCATAATCAAAATGGATAGGTCATATGATAGGCATATCTTTAAGAAAATGCATACTGTTTTCCATGGTGGTTGTACCGTTTTATAGTGCCGTCTGTAGGGTATGAGATTTCCAGTTTATTTTTTGATCATAGATATTCTAATGTCTACGAAGTGATAGTTACAGTTTAGTTTGTATTCCATATGATGTTGAACATCTTTTCGTCGGCTATTATGATCTTCTGTGAAGTGTCTGTTTAAATCTTTTGCCCAACTTTTAAAATTTTGATTATTTATTTTATGAGTTTTGAGAAGCCTTTACTCTAGATGAAAGTCCTTTATCAATTAATATGATTCACAAACATTTTCTGCTACTTTTCATTCTCTAAACGTATTTTGAAGAGCAGCAGTTACTAACTGACGAACTCCATTCAGTTTATTAGTTTATTCTTTTATGGACAGTGCTTTTTTGCTGTCATGAATCAGTCATCTTTTTTCTTTTTTTGTACTGTAGATTGAATCCAGAGAACACTTAACCACTGAGCCATTTCACAGCTCTTTATTTTTTATTTTGAGACAGGGTCTTGCTAAGTTGCTTAGAACCTCACTAAGTTGTTAAGGCTTACTTTGTACTTGGAGGATCCTCCTTCCTCAGCCTCCCAAGCCACTGGGATTACGAGTGTGCACTACTTTGTCCATCTATCAGTCAAATCTTTACCTAACTTTAAAAAATACTTTATTTGCTAACGGATATTTGATATTTTGGTTTAAAACTGATAATTTGAGTTAATTTTTTGAATATAGTACTAAGTATGGGTCAAGTTTTTGGATTTGGATGTGCCCATCCAGTTTTTCTGTTGCAAGTTGTTGAAAAGACTTTTTTTCTCCATTGAATTGGCTTTGTAGCTTTGTCAAAAATCAATTATCTATGTATGTGTGATTCTATTTCTGTACTCTGCTTTTTTCCATTGACCCATTTTTGTCTATCCAGATTCCAAAAACGTTGTCTTAATCGCTAGCTATGTATTGAGACTTGAAATTGGGTAGTCTTGGTCCTCCAACTTTGTTCTTTTTGAAAGTTGTTTTGGCTCTTCTGGATCACAGAAAATATGCTGAGATTTTACTGAATTTGAGTTGAATTTGTAGAGCAGTTCAGAGAAAATTGACATCTAAAGGTTTCATCCTTTGTACCCTCTTTGTTTACATAATATTTATAATTCAGTATTGTTTTTAGTTTTGAGTTTGCAGAATTTCTACATCTTTTGTTAGAGTCATCCTTAAATATTTCATATCTTTTGATGTTATTATAAATGATGTTTTTAAAAATGCAACTTCCAGGTGTTTGGTGCTAGTGTTTAGATACACAAATGATTATTGCATGATGCTGTTGTATCCAACACCTTGCTAAACTAATATCATTGATCTGATAGATTAAAAAATTTTTTTTTAGTTGAGGATGGACACAATACCTTTGTTTTACTCATTTATCTTTATGTGGTGCTGAGGATTGAACCCAGTGCCTCAGGTGCTAGGCAAGCACTCTACCACTACGCCACAACCCTAGCCTTTTATGTACGTTTTGTTGGATGTTCTGTATAGACTATTTACTTCCAATTGTTGGTAGACAGTTTTCTCCCTTTCCTATCTGGGTGTTTTTCTGCCTCCTTTTTCCCTTATGATGCCTAGTACAGTGTTCAAAAAAAGCAATGAGAGTGGGCATTTACTCACTTTACCTTGTTCATCATATTAGGGTGAATGCTCCACTTTGTATTCTTTCTTTCTTATCTTCCTTAACCATGACTGTGAAATGTGCAAACAGTTAAGGAAGGAATAATACCATTTTTAGTAATGTGAAAGTGAACTACATRGGCTTGTTTGTGGGGAAATTTTAAAATTATATATTCAAGGCTCTTCAGGTTACCTCGTTTTTCTTGGGTGAGCTTTAGTAAATTATGTATATAATGAGTCCATTTCCTCTAAGTTGCTGAATGATTATTTACATAGAGTTTATTATTTTGTATAGAATTGTATATATGATTGAATGCCTTTTGAATCTGTAGTGATATCAACATTCTCATTCCTATTAGTGATTATTTATAGGCTTTTTTCTCCCTTATCAGTCTTTATAGAAGTTTATTGGTTTTTATTAATCTTCTCCAAAAGATCAGCTGTTGGTTTCATTGGGTTTTTTTTTTTTTGTTGTTGTTGTTGTTTCCTATTTTATTGATGGCTGTTTCTATTTTTTGTTTTATGTTTTTGCTGTTTTTTCTACTTAATTTTAACTTTGAAGCTAATGTCATTGACATGATATCTTTCTAATGTTGGGGTTCAGTGCTGTATATTTTTAGATAGTGCTTTCATAGCATTCCTCAAATTTTGATATGTATATGTTTTTCATTCATTTCAATTTTCTAAGAATTTAAAAAATTTCTTTGCTTTATGGCTACTCAGTATAAT